GGAAAGTTATTTTTCTTCACTGTAATAGAAACTAGAGGTACACCAATACATTAGTCCGATATTGGATTGGTAGTGATATAAAGAAGTCTGGCTGTATCAGATATCGGTCCGATGGGTGGGGGTGGGGTGTTGAGCCAGGGTTGCACCAGGCAGCTGGCTGCGGTGGCGCTGGGAGCAGAGTGGTGGTGAAATTTGGGGTGGATGCAGCATCCTCCCAGCACCAGTGGTGCCTGCTGCAAGCCCAGCTCCCACTGAGAAGAGCCCCACACAGCCCCAGCTGCAGCCTGACCCACATCACCCCACCTTGTGCAGATCTACCCCCCCCATGCCCTCCCAAGGAGCAAGCAGCAGCAGAAGCTGCCTCCCCCCACACGAGCCATGGCTCCCAACCCTCCCCACCGCACCTGGGTAGCACCTGCCCCTGCTCCCTCCCTCACCATGGGGGGTGTTGATCTGCCCCTGCCCCATGCTCCTTCTCTCCCCCCTCCCTTTCTACCACACTGGACTACCAGCTGGAGGCAGCTGTATTGGAAATTGGATCGGTATCGGCTGATATTCCTCCTTAAATATCAACTATCAGTATTAGCCCCAAAAATCTATATTGGTGCACCCCTAATAGAAACAGATAAAAATATTAGAACACAGCATCTGCTTGCTTTTGGCTGCCAATATGCCTACCATTTGTCCCTGGCCCCGGCAAGCAGAAGAGGTGAAGTTTTTTGGTTAACTCTCTTATATCTGTATCTAGTTGCTGAGAACTGTAGCTTGTGTCTGAAGAAGAATTTTTTCTGGCTCAGGGCAAATGAGCGACTGCTTGCAGTCTGTTTTGTATTGATGAGGACAGTGGGGTGGGAACAATACTTTATTATCACAGGCACTTATATAAAGAACTACTATACAGCAATGAAGTAGCAATCTAGCTACTACCTTTGAAAAGGTCTGGGGCCTAGACTTGTTCCTGTCCTGCCACACCTGGAAGTTCCTGCTGCCTCACTCAGACTGCTCCTGGGATGTTACACTTCCTAGACACCCTTTGTTTCTAGAAGGACTTATTCTGTCACCATTAGCCATGACTGGATTTTTTTTTGATTTGGGGTTGTTGTTTTTTTAAATACATTCTGCCTTCCAAAAACAAGGTAGATGTTTGATTTTTACGGGGACATGGCAGGCAAGAAAATATGGTAATGCTTTTTAAGTAAATATCATATATGGCAAATTTAATAGTTATCTTGAGTTTTGTGTTAAAAAAAGAAAATACAAAATGAAATATTTAGGTCATCTGGCACCGTGTCTTTTCACACACTAAATTTTGCCAAGGCCCAGATAATTCTCCCTTGATACACAGATGGTAGAAAGACCTTGTCCACATATGTCCCTCCTGGTATTTGAAAGGAGCTAAATTACTTTCATAGAGCCACCACCTTTACTCCGCTCTATGCCTTGCAGAAGGCTATCTGTTGTTCTGGGATCAAAATTAGGAAGATAGAGCTTGAATGGAGGCGCAGAGTATTTATCTGACTTCCCCTGAAATCTGCCATGTTTGGGGAAGCTCTTTTGCAAGAAAAGTTAACACAGGCCCTAAAAATGTGCAAAGATCATCCTAAAATATTCCAGAGTTCCTGATAGAGTTCACTCCTCATGATATGAAGAAAAGAGGTGAAAAACGGATGCTTTCACATGGTATCAGGTAAATAAGAAACTTAGAAATATTTCAGATAAATGATAATAAATATGTAGCTCATAATGACCATTTAGCTTTATGTGTTTAAGATTGAATTAGTGTTTGTGAGTAAAAAAAAATCTAGAGCTACCTCTATCTAGAATGTGCATACTGCAATATTTAGGATATACATTATTTAGGATGTAACATGATAGAGAAATGCACTGTAGAAATTGATGAATGAGTTTGCCACGGTATTTTAGAACCATGTGTATATGTTGAGAAATAGGGAGAGCTGTCATTAATTTCTTTTTTGTTTTGTTTTGTTTTTACAAAAACAAGGTGGAGAAAGCAGTGGATGGTGACTAGTGACAGACTACAATGACTGTCAAGAGTAGTTGCAGTTTGATTTAATTATCTGCTTTTACAAAATCTGCCTCATCATTTTGAAAGCTGGTTTCAGCTTTCATTATAGGGGGCTTATAATGGGCTTTTAAAGTGACAGCAAATGGCCAAGCCTGATGATTTTATATTTTTTAGCAGAAAAATGGAATAGCAACAGTAGTTATTTCTTCTACACATCAAGGGTGTCTATACTGTGGGATCAGACCTCTACATTGAGTTAAATGCTTGATCAGTAGTCCCATAATAAGTATAACTACAGCAAAGGTTAATCTGTGACAATTATACTGAAATATATACAGATTCTGGGTATATTTTCTGTATGTAAAGGTTTCATTAAAAAAAATTCATAATATTCATCTGAATACACACAAGATTTTCAAGCATTTTTGTGCTTAGAAAACCATGAATTTAAGCACGGATGCCTCTGAAATTGTTAAAACAACTGAATATTTCAGAACACTTTCTATATTTTCCCTCTTTTTATATCACAAAAGCAGATCATACAACAGCTGAACATGCTTATATAAAAAGGCATCTGGTTTTTTTATAGCAACATTGTAGAAGCTCACAAATTCCCACACACTGCACCATAGGGAACTGATATATATTAGCTCTACTGTATTTTCCAGCAGAATATTTTACACTGAAGTCTTGGGGTTAATCATCCAGTTCAGTGGGAGTAAATGCCCTGCTGCACATTTGCAGAGCATGTGGAAGCAATGCTCACAGAGAGCTGCACAAAAATAAAAATCTTTTTTTTTCCAGTTGTGTATATAAACACTCTTCTAATCACAGAAGCAAAAGTATGCCTTTATTCAGAAAAAAAAAGCTAGACTGACATAGCTGTTATTTGATAGCAAAGGGAACTCGTGAGAGGGTAATGCCCCTTCCCTTACTTTTTGGTTTCTAATTGGGACTCCAGTCAGAGACAGGAGAGGAAGAGGTGTTTGCCCATCACTTCCGCTGACCAGCTGCATCCAAATATTTGCCATCAAAGTCTTTGCTAGGAATTTCTTGGGGAGGGGGGAAGTGAGGAGAAGAGGGAAGAAAGCTCACTTAGAAGGGATTCAATAAATTCAGGTA